TTTATCTGAATTAATGATTGAGGATAATGACCTATGTTAATACAAAAGAAAGATTGAGCTATATACAATTGTTATTGTTATATTAACTAATTCTATTTATCGAAAACAATAATATAATGGATTCAAAAAGCCCATATTTACTTTTAAAATATTTGATTTTTTACACTCTACGCAGGGCTCCTCAAATCCAACGATTAAGTTTGCTTCTCGACAATGTTTGGCTTCTCGACAACATAAAGTTTCAAATGCTTGTGCATAACTTAACAGAGTTAAGGTTTCTTTTCCTTGATTATGTGAATATGTCTCTAGTTGTGCCTTCTTCCTTGCTAAACTTGACTTCTTCCTTGGAGCATTTGAGCCTTAGAGGTTGTAGGTTGCAAGGAAACTTTCCAAGCCAAGCTTTTCCGCTAATGAAATTGGTTTCACTCGATCTCTCTGATAATGTTGGTTTGCATCTTGACAACATAAACTTTCAAATGCTTGTGCATAACTTAACAGAATTAAGGTTTCTTATCCTTGATTATGTCAACATGTCTCTGGTTGTGCCTTCTTCCTTGCTAAACTCCACTTCTTCCTTAGAACATTTGAGCCTTAAGTATTGTAATTTGCAAGGAAACTTTCCAAACCAAGTTTTTCAGCTTCCATCTCTCCAGCTTCTTAATCTAAGCTACAACTTTGATTTAGGAGGTAATATGCCCGAGTCAAACCAGAGTGGTACCCTCGAGTATTTGAATCTTGCAAAGACAAACTTCTCAGGAGAGTTGCCTCATTCAATTGTAAATCTTAAACTCCTAAAGGAATTGAACCTCTATCACTGTCAATTTTATGGATCAATTCCTAGATCTCTTGCAAATCTTACAGAGATAACTCAACTCGATTTTTCTTTCAACCATTTGCGAGGGCAAATACCAGATGTTTTTGGAAAAATGCACAAGCTAACTGATTTGCACTTAGATGCAAACAATTTTGTTGGTGAAATTCCTGCATCAATCTTCAACCTCACTTATCTTACTATTTTGTCACTATCATCAAATAAGCTATTAGGTCGTGTACCATCTTTGTTGTTTTCTCTGCCTTCTTTAGCCTATTTAGACCTTAGAAACAATAGACTTACCAGACCTATTGATCATGTTGAGATGCCTAACCTCATTTTACAAGAAGTCTATTTGTCCGATAATGAGATAAGTGGTTCAATTCCAAGCTTCTTCTTTGATCTTGTGCACCTTACTACACTCCACCTTTCTTCAAATAACTTCATTGGCACTATTACACCCGACATGCTTTCGAAGCTTGTAGACCTTGAAGATCTTGATCTTTCCAATAATAGTTTGCTATCTTTAAGCACTGATGGCATTGCTGCCAATTATTCCTTTCCGAACCTTTGGTCCTTAAAATTCTCTTCTTGCAACATATACAAGTTCCCAAGTTTCTTAAGGAAGGCAAAGAGATTGGAAGTATTGGATATTTCCAAGAACAAGGTTTCTGGTCAAATTCACAAATGGGAAATAGAAGGGATGTTGTCATTGTACAATTTAAACCTTTCTTATAACGTCTTGACTGGTATAGATTTATTTGGCTTTGGAAATCTTGAAAGTGTTGACCTCACATCCAACTTACTACAGGGATCACTTCCTATTCTATCAACAACTTGGGGTCCTATGCAACAACTCCTCTTTTCAGGGAATAATTTGACTGGAGAAATCCCTCCTTATTGTAATTTTACTTCTCTTTATATTCTAGTCTTAACTAATAATAGTTTGGGAGGAAAAATTCCCAAATGTCTTGGAAACTTGAGTGATCTCAGCATCTTGGATCTGCGGATGAATAAGTTCCATGGTAGGATTCCAAATTTATTTCTCAACAACAGTTCCTTGTTTACCCTCAGCCTAAATGGCAACCAGTTGGAAGGGATACTGCCACAATCTTTGGTTAATTGCAATAAGTTGGAAATTCTAGATGTGGGGAACAACAACTTGAATGATACCTTTCCATACTGGTTAGGTGTTCTTCCATCGCTAAAAGTTCTCATCCTTCGATCTAATCGATTTCATGGTGCCATCAGCAATTCTATGCCTGCATTTTACTTCCCTCAATTGAGAATCATTGATGTTGCACAGAATGATTTTATGGGTCTCCTACCGAGTAACTATTTCAAAATGTTGAAAAGCATGAGAGATGTGGCTCCAGACGATAAAGTCAAATTGGAATACATTGATATTAAGTATACCAAATGTTTAGCCAATGGAGGTAGAAGAATTTGCCCACTTCTTAGGGATCCTTATAAGGATTCTGTGAAGGTAGTAATGAAAGGGTTTGAGGTGGAGCTTGTAAGGATTTTGGAAATTTTCACAACTATAGATTTCTCGAGCAATCAATTTCATGGACAGATTCCTGACGAGCTAGGAGAACTCAATTCACTTTTATTGCTAAACTTATCTCACAATAGTCTCAATGGTCAAATCCCGTCATCATTGGGGAAATTAGCAGAACTCGAGTCATTGGATCTCTCATCAAACAAGCTTGAAGGCAGGATTCCAGAGCAATTGACAAAGCTGACGTTCCTATCAGTTTTGAATCTTTCACACAATGAACTTATGGGCCACATACCTGAAGGGAAGCAGTTCAGTACTTTCTCAAATGATTCCTACATTGGGAACTCTGGGTTGTGTGGATTCCCATTGACAAAGAAATGTGAAGAACCAAGACCACCTTCACCACCATTTGATGAAAAAGATGACTCTACAGCAGTCTTTGAGTGGAAGTTTGCATTGGCAGGCTATGGGTGGGGTGTGGACTGGTGTTGGGACTTAGTCTGGGATACATTGCCTTCACTACAGGAAAACCATGGTGGTTAGTGAAGAAAGTGGAGAAATATCAACAGAAATTAGTTGGAAGTTGCAACCAAAGTCATAAGCAGAGAAAAACCCAACAACCCGACCAACGCTCTTAAGTGAGTAAGTTTCTACAACTCTCTATAATATTTGTGTTCTATTTAAGTTCTAACCATAAAAATCAAGGCATGTTATATAATAGTGACTCTTAATTTTTCTACTTTTGCTTTATTTTATATAGGTGCAAGCAGGTGCGGTTGATTTCCTACTTCCGGGCAGATCTGGCAACAGTTGCTTCTTGAGCTTGTTTCCATCTTTTTCATGTTCATTGTTGATATATAGTTGTATTGACTTGTGTGGGAATTATGGTTATGTATGAATTTGTGTTGATTTCTTTTGGATTTGATCTATCTGCTCTACACGCAGTTCTCGTGTATTTTGTTACTGTAATTTGACCCTTCTGTGATTTTTGCCAATCAATCTCTTCATATCATATTTTATCCTCTTCTTTTGGTTTGGTTGCCTTTGAACGGTGCGTTTCACTGAATAAAAATGAAAATTTCTTAAAATGTGGTGTGAACCCCAATCGTCTCCTTTCGCCATATTTTCCGATCAATTGAAATTTCGAATCAGTCTCGAAGCGGACGCAGCCGAGCGATTTGGAAGAGGATTAGGAGTGCCAGCCGATCGACGGCCGAGACGGCCTCTGCTCTCTGGAGGCCCATTCTCTAGCCATCACCAACTCTAGACAGATAATTTTCTTTTTGTGTTTTACATTCTATAGAAGTTCTTCAAATGGTCTAAGAGGTTTTGAGTAATTGTTGGGTACATGATTTCCGAAATAGTTTAAGCATAGGAACTATATTTATTCTTACAGTCAGTACATCCAAAGGTTTATCTGTTGGTTTATTCTTTGTTGGCTGACCTGATCTGACCTGACTTCAAGATCCGACACCAGATTTTAATACACAGGTAAAAGTTAAAAGGTGACTTTTTAAAAAAAAAAAAAAAATTTCTTGAGATGTTAACCTAGAAGTGTTTAAAAAATTGATGATTTGTGCTTAACTACTCTAGCTAGATATTTTTGCTTACAGATGACAATGGTATATCCTGCAGGCATCCTAAATTTAGAGTCTGTTGAACGAAGAGAGGCATCCTAAAATGTAAACATCTTTACCTTTTGTCATTATTTTAGTATTATCTTCATGAAATCTTCATGAATCATTTCTTATTTCTGAGATCGGCTGCTAAGATAAACAAAGTCTAAAGAACATAGTCTAAGCATTTAAAAGAATTGTTTCTGTGGTTCATTTTTAGTTATGCTGCTTGTTCTTTTTCCATTAAATAATAGAAACTTTGTGAAGTTATTCTAATATTTGAATTCAGCTGCTTTCATTGTTAGACAGTCAAGTCAAACTTACTACTGCACAATCAATATAGGAGATGATGTTGTGATCTTAGCTTTTCATTGTGTTTTGCAATAATATAATTTGCAGCTTATTGCATAATAAATAACACCACAAATTGATGCTTTTGTAGGCGTGCCTATTATCTTTGTCTTTATTTTGTTATCTCCTTGACTAAATTTATTTCATCCTCTTAGACTTTCAGTAGACAGAAGCAGGTCCTTAGTGGGGGCCTTTTTGTCAAGAGTTATACCGCAGCCTGCAGTAGTTTCAACCAACGTTTTAAAAACCGGATTGGACCGGCCAGTTGAACCGGTATCCAGTATTAAAAATGATTCAAATCAACATTTAAAACCGATAAAATGGTTGAACCATTCAAAATCGGTAAAACCATTCGAACCGGTACAAACCGAAAAACCAAACGGTTTAAATCCTTTGGAGGATTTACCTTAAATTTGCTGCCCCGGAGGGCTTGAACACATGACTTCAAGAAGATTTTCTGTCACTTTTGCCACTAGGACGTTACCTCTTTGACTGAAATGATTTGCTAACAATTTGATTTATGTTATTCTTCAAAGAAAAGAATTGACGATGCCATCCAGTAGAATCGAACTTTCCTTCCTTTATGAACTTTGATGTTAAAATTAATATAGTGTTACTCTAATTTTTATCTTAAATATATAAATTAAAAGTGTGATAAATATAATTTTTTGTAATTAA